CACAATTTGAATATAAGTTAGAAAATTCATTCTGACTTTTTTTGGTATGTGTATATGCTTACATATCTCTTTCGTATTGGATGAAAATTACTGAAATAATAATTAATAATCCAGATCTGCCATTTTATGTTAGCAATGTAGGCTGTGAATATAAATACACGTCAAATTTTAGGCATATGCACAACTCAGGATCCATACAAAACATGACATCCATTCCAGATCACATAATCTACCATATCCTCCCCCAACTTCCGGTGAAATCCCTTGTAAGATTCAAGTGCGTAAGCAAGAATTGGTCATCCTTCATCGCCCATCCAGATTTCATTAAAGCCCACGTGGATCGCACAAAAACACAATCTTTAATCATTTCTTCCTTGGAGCACCAAAATCTTCATACCAGCATCATCCGCTTCTTCTCCATCAGAGTCATTAACGAAGTTTCAGACACCGAAATCTCAGCTTCTTTTCCTGTCCCTTTCGACTCTTACCATGTCTTACCCTCTTGTAATGGTCTGGTCTGCTTCTACGGTTCACATGGCGGGATTCACGTTTGCAACCCTGCTAGCAGGAAGATGGTAACACTGTCGGACCGCAGTGATGCAGGTGTTTAATTAATCTTTACTTTGCTCATGTAAATGCATTCATTCGACTATTAGCTAAAATTCAAACTCTGAATGTTGAGGTTTTGATTGGTTGTGCAGGTGCTCAATCTTGGACTTGCGGATTGGGATTCGACAAAATAACTGGTAAGTACAAGGTGGTTAAGTTTTTAAAGCCTTGCGGAGTGGATGATGATGTTTCAGATAGCCTGAGGCTCGAGGTTTTTACCATGGACGAAGACAATTCTTGGAGGACAGTAAGGTTCCAGCCTCCGTTTCGCTTCCCTTTTCGGCAACCACCGGTGTTTGCTGGTGGCTTCTTTTACTGGATCTCTGACCCCGTTGTTGACTCTTCTGGTTTTTCAATAATTTCATTGGACGTGGGACATGAAATTTTTGGAGTAATAAAGCCACCAGAAAGCCTTTGGAGGAAGAATTGGTATTTGTTTTCCCTAGTGGAACTTGGAGGGAAGTTATGTTTGGTAGATTTGGATTTTGACGTTGCGGAGAAGAACAGGATGGATATTTGGATTTTTAAGGAAAACGTGGATTGCGACAGAACGCATGACTTGTGGTTGAGGGAAACCATAGTTCATCCGTCGGAGTCTATTGACTGCACCTTGCCGGTGGCGGTTGTGGGCGGAGAAATTTTGTTGCACGGATACGTGAAAGGGTTAGGTGAATTGAACATTTATGATCCAAAATTGGGTCGATTTAGGGAGTTGGAGATTGGAAAGGTTTCGTGGCAGTATTTTCATGCAAGTTCTTATGTGGGAAGCATGGTACCTGTCCCAAATAATCACTAACGAATCGATGTATTTAATTTAAGGTATTGATACGGGAACAATTTAAAAATTTTTGTCTCTCATTTTTCTGGTTGCTTCTCTGTGGGCTGCCTGAAAATTTGATATTTAAGGAAAAGGAGGATTCACCGGTTGGAACACTGTTTTGAGGCCATCCAAGTCAGATCTTTCTTATGGATAATGGACAAGTCTAATGGATTGTAATTCACTACTCTTTACCTGACTGGGTTTTTTTTTTTTTTTTAGAGGTATAATTTGGGGTAGGGGAGGAAATGGAGAATTGCAGCATAGCAGCACCATGGTTTCAATTTTGGTTATTAATAAGGTATTGAGTGTATCTATTAAGTCATTTATGAGTTTTAATATTATTTGATTGATGTTAAAAACTTAAATAATGTGTCAAATGTATTGAATGCATCTACTAAGTAATTTATGACCTCTAATACTACTTAATTAGTGTTGGAATCTTAAAGAATGTGCCAAAGGTATTTTTGAACTAAAACAATTGAGAAAATAAGAAATGTGATTCTCAAAACTTAAATATTGAACTCCTAAATGTCATTGTTCTTCTCGAAGGATTTGTAACGATGGGGTCATAAAGGTAGTTG